GACCTAAAGCTAGCTCTGATACCAGATGTTTGGAATTAATACAGTATAATATAGACTCCAATATAAGGCTAACCGAATTCAACAGGTCAATCAACAACAATTACTGAGTTCAATACCCTCAAGCAGAATGTAATCAACCATTACATGCAGCAATAAGTTTAATCAGAAAACCCAGAGCACAAGAACTAAAGGAAAACATAGAAATTAAAGAGTACAAAATCGAGCTTTACTTCCCTTTCTCTTGGCTGAAAAATAGACTCAAGAACAGCACAAGCATGCCACGGAAATCACCATCCAAAGAGAAGTGTCATCAGAGAACCATGGGTTCGAGTTCTAGTCATCGATCGAAAAACGATCTCCCAAGTTTTACAGCGTTCTAGTCACAAATTCAGGAGGGAAATCAGTATCGAAAATAGCCACTATTTTAGGCCTGATAGACCCTCTGAAAAACCCTCCAGAAACCACCCAAGAGAGAGGAGAAGAAACCCTAGCAGAACCTACCGTAAGGAGAGTCAAAAACTAGAGAAAAAGAATCAGAAAACATAATGAAGACCAAGTATAGATCTCGATGTCCAACAGATCCAACGGTCCAAATAAAAGAAAACTAACACAATCTGGGTGAAACTAAAGCCACCAATAGGTAAGTGACACCTAGGTAACTAATGGAAGGATAAGTAACAATAGAAAAGTCACAACAAGCACCATCCCATTTAATTGTTAAGGGAACCACATAGGTCCACCTAAGCCCATACCTTCATTTCATCTCTTACTATGATCCTGCTCTTAATAAGTGGCTTGCCTTTTCAGTACAGGCTGTTTATGTGGAGTTTGATGGTGATTATGTTGTTAGCAGTCAATTTATCTGCATTTGCTTATGTAGTATCCATTGTTGTGGTTACACCAAAAAAGGATAAGAAATTACTGTACCATGTTATTATGACTGTAGTCATAGTATGGAGTAGCGTGATGGCAATTCTGCTTGTTGGGAACAATGTTAGGTTGGTCAACTGGTGGCTGCAGAAATGAGGAATAACCGTGTGGAGGCCAAGAAGATTTAGAGATTTGGTTGAAATACATACCGAAATTGTTATGAATCAATAGCATAATATAAACTCTTAAGCACAGCATTCAGTGGCTCAAAATTAGCTAAATAAAGTTCAGCAGACTTGATCATGCA